TTAAATCGACATTTCATTTTATTTTTGTACCTTTGTAACATGTATGAGTATGTCTATGACGTTGAACTGCCATAAAAACATCATTTTCATCATATTTGCAAGTTATAAATCTATCTATAAATTGAATGCATTCTTTTACGCTTTCGCAGTTGGTTGGATCATATATGGGCGCATCTTTAATCCAAAGAAAAATGTGCTCATGCGAGATCCACGTACTTGAAACTCTACCCGTTCATAACTATCTTCAATTAAATATTCATCAAAAACACTGTTATCCCGCTTTATAATATTAATTTATTTGCTTTGTAATCGAAGTACCGCGCAAAGGTTACTGGATCTCGCGTAACTAATTCTGATTTTTCTGCATCATCTAAATGTAATGCCTCTTCAATCGAAATTGTTTTGTTCATATTTAATGTACTTAAACACTGTAATAATTCTGGCCAAATCTTTTCACCTGCAGATACTGTTAAGAAAATTGTAGGTTTGCCTAATTGCCTGATCATTGCCATTAGGTCACATTTCTTTGATTCCCAATAAGAAGGCGAAGATCTAATTTGTTTTAAAATTTTATGACCCTGGTCTAACTTAATTAAATTGTCTAAAAATGCCATATCTAAAACATTTTTAACTCGTACATCTGCGGTTCGCTTTGTTTTTCTCAGACAAATATTTAAACTAGCTATGCAGGATTTTTCTAATTTCTTCTTAGCCATAAAAAGAACCCTAGTAGGTATACATGACCTTCGATCCCAGCGCCTAATCTCTGATTTTGCCCGATCTCCATACGAAATAAAAGCAGGAATATTCATTTTGTAACCACCAAATATCTTAGGAAAACACAATTCGTCTATATCTTCTACTGCATGCCAAGGTACAGGAGTTTTTCCTTGTGCTGGAGCTATAATTCTAACATTGTTAACTATCTCTTCATTTCTATCAACTAACATAACTTCTTCATCTAATTCTGCCTCAATTTAAAATGGGAATCAAAATCTGCATCATGTGAAAGACTTAAATGATTTTGAGTATTACATAATGCTATGTCATCATTCTTTGAAACTGATGCAAATATTTTTCGTCAATCTGAATATCGTGTTTTTTGTAAAGTGGAGTTCCAATCAGATGTTTTAGAGCTTCACAGACAACAGCATGACGAATCGTTTCAAACATATAGTTGCTCTTGTGATCAAAATGCCTTTTTAACTTTAGCTGTAATGTCGCCATCTGATCGAAATTTCTCGGCAATACATTTAACACATCATTTATTTCAATTGGTATGTTTACTACACTACCTTTCAAGCCGAGTTGTGGATTTCCTGCAAAAGATTTTAAAGGCCTAATTTGCATGAAATTAATATAAGGTGCAACCATTCTCTCTTCAAGTGGAGAAAGAATTTGCAAGCAATTAGGTTACATCAACAAATTTCAATCCATTGCTAGTAGACAAATTAAGTATTTTACTTTTACTTATATGAAAGTTGCAAGTTTTACAAATAAATTTTGAATTATAATTATAAATTTTTGAAAATATGTCTTCAGAAACAGTTTCTTTAATTTTAACTAAATTAAAGTTAACTACAGAGTGACTGAAAAATAAACCCTCACAACAACAACATATAAATTGAGGCATACATGCTTGATCTTTAATAAATTGCAAAAAATACTTATCTTTTGGCTCGTTACTCCTCCAATACTGTCGAACAATATTCTAAGTCGGAGTTGATCATCATTTCGTTTATTTATTTTTTGTTGCCTGTCATTTAATAGTTCTTTGGTTTGACATAATTCCTGTGATCTTAATTTGTGTACACGTTCTCTAGTTTTCAAATTTTCTCCTTCGTCTTAACATTTTCTTCCACTTTATAGTCATTGTTCTATCTTTACTTTTTCCTTGTTATTAAGATTTTCTACCACTTTAAATTCATCATCCACTCTTAATCCTTTTATTCTTTCCTTAGTCTTAACATTTTCTTCCTCTTTATATTCATCATCCCCTCTTAATCTTCTTATTCTTTCCTTGGTATTAAGATTTTCTACCACTTTAAATTCATCATCCGCTCTTAATCTTCTTATTCTTTCCTTGGTCTTAACATTTTCTTCCGCTTTATATTCATCCCCTCTTAATCTTCTCATTCTTTCCTTGGTATTAAGATTTTCTACCACTTTAAATTCATCATCCGCTCTTAATCTTCTTATTCTTTCCTTGGTTTTAACATTTTCTTCCGCTTTATATTCTCACCCCCTCTTAATCGTTTTATTCTTTCTTTAGTCTTAACATTTTCTTCCTTTTTATATCCATCTTCTTGTTTTTTTTTTTTTTTTTGATATATTTCTTAATGTTACATTTCTTTTTCCTGTACGGTTGTTTCTTTTTCATCCTTGATTATTCAACAAATAATCCTACAGTAAAAGTGAATATTTTATGGTGTGAGGTAAAAATAAACATCTGTAACCAGTATACAGGAGTTCAGTAATAGCTATGTAACGTGCAGTCCAAGCATCCCGAGAACTCAGCATTACAATGATAAATTTAAAGAACATTCTCTTTACAACAACAATAAACCGAAATTAAAAAATTTTGCCACTCGTTAATCATATTAATAAAATATTGCTTGTATTTATGTAACGAAAACGCACTTATATTAAAATAGAAAAATGTTAATAAGCAGATGATAACAACGCATATGAACTGATAAAAATTTAGTAAAATGAATTTAAATTATTTTAATTCTAATTTTATCCTTGCGTCAAATAGTTTTGAATGAACATTTCAGTTTAAACACGGCCACAATGCATGGACTGGGTTGCCAAGATACCGGAAGTTTTCCGGTCCTCTGTGACTTGGTACACCACCAAATATATAATAGAACATATTACATTTAAGTTTTCTTAATAAAAAAAAAATTAAAGGAATTCCTTATATAAAAGAAATACCTTATTTCCTTGAAAAAATTCCAGAAAGGATTAAGCATAATTTAATTCGCAATAATAAATGAAGGCGCTATCTTTGTTGTTGCGAAGCTTAGTCTCTCTAGATTGGCAACAAATCTACTATTCTGCTGTTTCAAATGTAAACAAATATGTTCGCCATGTTATTTAAAACTAAATGCTTAGCCGCATTTAAACAGCTTTTAAATTGTTGATAATTGTACAAATATTGCTTGCAGATTTACTAAAGGTATAAAAACCTTAACCGGAAGATAAGAAGAACAACATAATTCAACCATTTTAAAGCAAAAAATGCACAATTTATAAAACATATAAGAGTAAAGAAACTGAGATCACTGAGCCGGGTAACAGAGTGGATATATATATAAATATATTTATATACATTTGGTGCGGATGATTGCAACCAAAATACGAGGTGAACATCTACATGTTATAGCAATCTTATATACAAAATTTGAACATTCTGACGCTACTCGTTTTTTAGTTATGCAAGATACATACGTAGGCACGTATGTACACACGTTCGTACAGACGCCACGAAAAATTCTCTTCAGAATTCATTTTTAAGCAGTTTTATAATTTTTTTGGTGGAAAAGAGTCTTTTATTCTGTCTTTACGTCCAGATATCATGAAAAAACATAGTTAAATTGCATTCGATAGCGGTCAAAATGGATATTTTCATTGAAATATGCTGCCTGAAACTTTTCGCGATTACAATACTTTCTACAAGGAAGTAAAAAGTATCCCCAACTTTACATTTATAGACAATTTTTGGAATCCAAACCCATCTTTTCTAAGCATTTGGTTCATTACAAACAACTACTAGCTTAGAACTAACTCTCTCGAACCTTATGAGCACCCATCAAGCACATAAAAATTGCTTAGTACTATACTGGCAGTTTTAAAAAAATTCCCACTTTCATCAATTGCTAATTGCTTCAATGCTCTCGCCGCCAAGTATGATGCAAAATCAGTTCCATATGTAACAGTATTGAACCGAAAAACTTACACATGTTACTTTGAATTCTCTCCAACATATGTTTTGAAATTCCTTATGTTTAGACTCAATTTTAACTTCTTTACACATTTTCTACGCGAAATTTCTCTTACATTTCATTATTTACGATTTTAACTCTTTCTTTTTAGCAAATCTTCCCGATTCGTTTTTAAGAAAAATCAAAATATAACTTACCACTTTAGATACTCTACCTGGACACCACTTTACAGGCAATACTTCTTGCTCACACAAAATCTCTGGCTCCACGGACCAAGTTCATATCACTTTGCTTATGTGTGCTAGTTCAAAAATGAATTTAAACACTACATGAAGATGAACTACAATTCTTTCATTACTGAATGTTACATGGGATCTTGTACTCAGCTTTACATTTCTCATTACAACAGCTTACCAGCGTGAGAAACGTCCATTTTATTCCAGCACTTCAACTTGGGGTGACCCTTGAACACCTTTCTCTAACAACTCTTGGCTCTTTCATTGCAGGTTTTGCCTTTAGCTTACTCCCTTGCTACTTTGCAATCATATACAAGTATAATCTCATAGTATCACTGCTTGTGATGCAAAAGTAGCACTACAATTTTATGTAAACCTTTGTATTGTATTTTCATATACAGCTTTCGTTACTCCAACTGTTTAAAAAAAAACAGCATCACTTTTTTAAAAAATTAAGATGAAAATAAAAATATTCTGAAGAAAACATCTTATAGCTAGAGACTATTTAAATGTATATGTAATAAAAAAGCTAAGGGGGCTATAAATTGTGAAAGTTTCAATTCTGATCTTAATTTTTATTTTTACTATACAATACACTATGATTTATTATCAACTGCCAGTATAATGGCAGCGATGGGGGACCTTTTAATTATCCATCACTATTACTGTCCTGCATCTGATTAATAATTACAATTTTAATGTATATTTCTAAAATAAAAAGAGAATTTGGTTGAACTAATTTTCAATTTCAAACTTAAATTGCATATTTCCATTTATTATAATAAGAAAAACATGAAAAAGCAATAAAATTCACAGGTTCAGCAGAAAAAGATATTTTTATTTATGCTTAATTTCTATTAAACACACAAAACAAAGCTGCACCTGTCAGCTAATTTATTACTTGGAACAAAAGCAAAGTTAAATATATAAATAAACGGTGGTAAGACACATCTACTGTTCATCATAGAAAACATTTTACTCAATTTCAGCTTCCATACAGTATCAAAAAGGGGCTGCACCTGTCAGCAAGTTCATCATTCCAGATAGTTCAAAACACAATTTTATGCATTAGTAACACAATATATATTTAAATATAACAAATGTAAGTTCTGTTAACACTATACACAGTCAAAAGTTTTACACCACCGGTTATGAGGTTCTTCTTAAGCTCAATGTGAATTTGGAAGACGAAAGAATAGTCAGGCAAGGTCAGATCTTTTGGGAATCCTTATGAGCATTTCGAAGAATAATGTATGGTACACCAAGTTCAAACCTAGATTAATAAAAACTATGATTAGGTCTCTTAATAAATTTTAAACAGCATTTTGATATGTATTTAGATAAGATACATTCAGCATAAACTCCTATAAACAGACATTGCTAAAATCACAGTCCTCAATGATTTGGCATCATAAAGAATATATTTCAACATTTTAAAATTTAAATGGAAAAAGAAAACACTTAAAATTGAAAACAATGCGTAATTAAAAAAATGCAGTTACTATAGAATTTTTATCTGGCAACCATTTCCCTAAGAAGATAGTCTCTTAAAATAGGCAATATTTATAAGAACAGAAATAAAGTCTGTATCAAACATGTCTCAAACAGCAACCTTCATAAAATGTTTAAATCATCTAGAAGTGCAAGTGACAGTTTTAAAGTTCCCAGTAATTTATTATTATTTTACATATATAAATACATTTGAAAGTTTATTGAATTTTGAAGATTTTTCAAAACAGAAGATAATATCATACCTAAATCTATCAACTAATTTAAATCGAAAATAATTCCCACATAAGAATTTTGCCAAGTTAGAAAATACTGCTGGATATGTTTGTATTATTAGTATTAGTTCTCACTAATAAAGTTTGGCTAAACTAGTGGTGATCTAACTTGCCATTTGGACAAAGCATAATTTTCAAAGATACTTGCTCAAGTCTCATATAGATTTATTTGCATTATTTTATAGATACTAATATCGTACTCTAAAAGTAACCAATTTACAAAGCTATCAAAAATGTCATTCAGCTTCCTTCAAACCAATTTTTTAATTTCACTGTTTCAATCTGACTGCATTTATAATTGTTACACTGCCACAGTATTCTTTCTTTAAAAATGTATAATTTAAATTTAGTACATTCATAATTATTTAATGATGTACTGTAACCCTAAAAAAACAGTTACTTTCTGTTTTATTATTTAAGAAAATACAAAGATTCCTTGCTAAGAAATTAAAAGAACAGGCTAAGGACAAAAATATTAAGAAATTAAAAAAAAATCAAAATAACAAGATGGAGCACATGATTAACAGAAGACAGCCAGGAATATACATATCAGCCACAGGAATTTAAGACAGTTCTAATTCACTAGTGGTAACTAATAGTATAATTTAATCCATAAATATAACTATTAGCCAGTTAATGCATTTTTACTCTTTTCATTGACAAATAAATATTTTAAGTTATTTAATTCTGAAAATTAACAATATTTCCCAAAAGTTCATGATGTTGTGCAATGCCTATATAGAGTGCTCTACCTTCCCTTTTTCTTTGAGCTAGGATTAGAATTTGAACTTTAACTAGATGTATGTATTAGATGTATAAAATGTTTGTCAGGGAATCGCTGGCCCTACCAGCAAAAGATCATTAATGCTCTATTTCAGTAACTTGTAAATAAACTAATTTGTTGATGTATTTTTATACAGAGACTTTTATCATCTATTGTTTTAAATGAGAATCACCAAAAGAACTTAATTGACTTTGATAATAATTACCTCTGTTTGATTTGTCTTTATGGTTAATTGGCAATAGAATAGCTGGGATATTTTGGATCATGAAATCATGTCCACGAGGAAGTAAAAAGTAGGCTTTCATTTTGTATTCATCTTGGGTGTATTTCTATTGTATAGTATTAATAAAAAATGACAGCGTGAGAACTTGCAAAAACTAACCATACAACAGTTTGAACATTAACAACCCAGTTAATAAATCAAACTGACATTAAATTAAAGTCAAGAGAGAAGCTTCACAAGCAGAATTTGAGAGAGGATCATGAGCTCTTAATAGAAAGAAATAATGAAGAAAAAGCTCTCGAAGTTGAAACTGAAACTTCCATTGCAGTTGATCAAATGAAAAAAACCTGATGTGTACACCACATGTGCTTTCTTGTACGGAATATTAAATTATACACATTTTTTTTCATTTCATTTAAACTTATTGGATTGAATTAAATCTACTTCGTCGATAGCAAATAAACCACAATAGAATAAATGCACTCTTTAAAATTCACTATATTTCTTTATCGTAGTGACACTCTGGTGCTAGGTTCACACTTAACAGCATCACATATAATTCATTTCATAACTCAGAATGCACAAAATTTATATCGTCTGAAGAATTATCTAATCGTGGCCATATCTCCTATTTAAATACTATAATAAATCTAAAACGATGTATAAAAAAAATTAAACCAAAAAAAAAGTTTTCACAGACAACTGTTACGTAGATAAAGGGAAAAAATTACCTTTATAATTAACTCTTTAAACTGACTTAATTAACTTCTTGGTGCCGCGACAAAAAAAAAAAAAAAAAAAAAAAAAACCCTAAAACTAAAACTAAAGTACTTAGCACTTACTTTTCTCTCAGACTCAAAATCTTAACACTTTAAAATAAAAGAGAAATCAAAGGAAAATATCCTCCCTGGTGTTTTGGTAAAACAAAGATTAATTTTCAAAACAAAATTCAAAAATGGCATTTCCACAACAAAATCTTTAACATGCTATCTCTCACTAAAATATAACTAATTCAGATCTCCAAACTGAAAATATATAAATTTCATTACAAATTTAGAGATAGCCATAAAACACTTAACATTTCAAATACCACTCAGATCTCTTCAAAACACCAGGGAAAGATACATCTCACATTTAAGTCTAAACAAAAAATCAAGATAAATTAATTAGGCCGATCGTATAGTCACCAACACTTAAAACAGACTTTTTGTACTACCGCAATATGGTTACCCAGGTTCGATAGAATAACCATGTTCCATAAGGATCCCATGGGTGACCTACAGTAGACCACAATTTTACTCAAAGAAACATACAATAATAAAAAATAATAAACACATTTATTGAATATTCCCCCACATTATAATTTAAAATAGCTGGCCAGACTACCCCTACAAAACATAATCTTAAAATTTACTCATTATTTCAATATTATTTTTTAACATAATTCACATCATACAAAATCATAGTGAAACCCCTCAATATTAATCTTTTTAAACATGAACTCAAGAATTAAACTCATGACAATTAAACATTTAAAAACATAGCTAACACTTTCTCAACTATTTATTATTCATAACACTTTCTCAACTATTGATTGATTGATTAAAATAGTCGAATTTTAATTTACATAAAAAAAGGTCAGCTAAGCTTTAGAATTTATCACTTCAAAATCCTAAAAATTACTTATAAAAGAAAAGCAGAATAAAAATTAAAATGTTTGCTCACAAAATCCGTGTATACTAGACTGAGAGCCTTGGGAAGCTGCCGGGATCCAGTCACAAAACGTCGAAAACATAACAGCCAAACATCATTGTTGTCCGGAAAATTGATACTGATGTGTGTTCATAACATAACGAGAATTCTCTCATAAGCACCCGCACTACTCGGTCCAGCAGCATTTAACTCAAAAAAATAATAGTAATTAGCTTTCCCTTTTATTTTGAAGATAACGGAAGTAGATAGACAACAGGAGATGATGACTTCCCTCTTTTTCCATATTTCCCAAAGCAAACTGGAACTTCAGCCCGACCAATTCAGACTCAGCTCTTCCACACATGGAAGACGTCCAAGATATGATTAAAGACGCTGGACCTAGCCCCAGATCTTTTGCCAATTACACCGAAATTTAACCGCAAGGAGCCTGCGACAAGCTCGGACAGGTCCCCGCTGCCAGTGCCACGGAGATCACAAATATTAACCGTAACCGGGGTTGCCCCCAAGGGGACGCCGGGTAATGCTCCTCTCAAAGTCGATCAAAACTGGACCTAATCTCACAAAAATCTCCTCTTCGTCTCCCTTGCAACGGCTTAAGAAAACTCCATTGACACTCACCAAGAAACGCCTCAAAATCACTATTGGCTCAAACCACACAGCAAAACACGTGTGTTCCACCCCCACGAAAAAGGAAATTGCAGCTGGCCGCAACTGACCGCTTTGTGAGAAACGGAAGTAACAAGCCTCGCCCTTTTTTCTGAATCACACTCTTCAGCCAACTTAAAAGAGTTTTGCAGTAATTGAGTCGCCGAAATTGAGTTAAAGTTTAAACAATCCTAAATATTAAACATTAATTCTAAAATATTAACAATACAAATTCATAAACACAGAAAAATAATAAAATAATTGTACCAAATAATACATAACAACTTTCCATAACAATTCAGTATTTCTCATTAAATTAATTCAGTTCTCACTTCGCGACAAGGCAAAAATACATAAAAACTCAAAATATCTATATTAAAAATTATGAAGTAAATCTTAAACACTCATTTCCTCGAATAAATTCTAGAACGGATTAAGCATGGTTTAATTTGCAATAATAAATGAAGTCATTATCTTTGTTGTTGTGAAGCTTAGTTTCTCTAGATTGGCAAAAAATTCATTATTCTGCCAAGTTTCAAATGTAAACCAACATGGCCACCATGGTAAACTAAAGGTATAAAAATCTTAACCAGTACAACATGGTTCAATCATTTTTAAAGCAAAAAATGCACAATTTACAAACATATAAGAATAAAGAAACTGAACTCACTGAGTGTTTTATTTATATACAGTCAAAAGTCGTTAATTCGGACACCCATAATCCGGAATGATCTATAATCCGGACCTCAAAGTTACAAACTTTCTGCACATGCATGGCTTTGAGGCAAGCGCATAGGCATTTACACTTGCACGTAAGACCTTTACGGCTGCAAATATGCATGTGCGCACATGCATAATACGTTTACGCATGCGCATTTAATGTATAACGGACGGTATAAGCTAAGCTAAAATTATCTAATTCAGTTAATGTTGCAGATTGCGTTCTTCCTTAATCTTCGAATTGGATCCAGCTTATTATTTTTTGCAGACTGTTAGAGCAATTTTATAAAAGTAAGCTTGAACTTTCGATTATGCCAAATAGAATTTCCGATATATATTTACTAATATGTAAAGGATCTACAAAGTGAAAGTATGTTTCGAAATCCGAAATCTGTTTAACAATT